ATGTCGTGTTGTATCTTTTGATATCACGGGGAGGCTTTTCTTTATATTAGATTTACCACTGGAAATTTTTTTATTTTTTACCCTTATTATTATTTTTTGAGCAAGGTGAACACTTGGGTTACTCAGGTAGTTCTAGAAATAATGGTTAACTTTTTCATGCTACCTTTTGTCTATCTCTCAGGTTCGATGATTAGTACATTTTATTCTCCGTTATTTTCTTTTAAGTAAAGCTGTCCAGATTTTTATTATTTTTGCACAACCACAAGGTTCGATGCCTTTAATGCTAGGGCAAAAGCAGTGTTGATGGCCTGATGGTGCTGTTGCTGTTTCTGCTGATGTAATTATTCCGAGTCCCCCTTATGATTGCTGAAATTCATGTGCTGTAATGTTGATAGCTCAGTAACGAATCAAATGATTCAGTATTCGTGTTAATTTTTTGTTTGATCTTATCCCAGGAGCAAAATTAGTCTTGTACGTGTTACCAGAAACTGTGAACAAATAATTGATGAGTCTTCGTTTCTTCTTCTTTCCTTTTTTTTTTTCCCTTTGGTTCTAATTTTTGTTATCTCATTAACACTAAAATCAATTCAAATAGGCACCGTTTTAGGGAATAATCAGCTTTTTACCACCCAAGAAGGAGGAGAAGAAGAAGAGAAAAGGGTGTGATCGTGCCGAGACATTTCTTCGGAAATCATTGATTTGGGCCTTTGTGGCTCATTATGTTTATAGTTTAGACACGTAGTAGCCCATGAGTGAAGCCTTCTCTACGTGGATGTTATATTTTTGGGCTTTAAGCGAAACTGATCAAGGCACAATCAAGTGTGTGCACTAAAATGGGAAAAAATTCATAGAAATTATTTTGACGAAATAAATGGAAAAGAAAAAAGAAATCAGAAATCATGGAAGCAGTGTATAACAAAATTTATAAGGGGCGAGAAGAAAACTTTCATGGATAACTTAAGAAGCATAAGCGGAGTGCAATTTGTATAAGAAGTGAAAAATCTTCTCGTGCTTATTTAGATAACCAAATTATAAGATTTCTTCATTTTGATTCAGTTGGGAGCGGATAAGTTGTTTAAATAATTTATTAAATTTTAAGGTTCCTTCTTAGTCTAATCGGTTCCATTTTACCCTTACAATGAAGGATACGAGTTCAAAAAGGTTATCAAAGTGTGTTAACACCACTGCGTAATCTCTTACTTTATATATTGTATAGATTTTGGACCCTATTTCATTATATATATATATATATATATGACTTCCGCTATTATTTGACTTTAAAAAATTGAAAAAAAAAAGGAACTATGATGAGGACATATTAATTACCCTTGAGTGGGGGACTGGAGGAATCTATCGCCAACCTTCTGACTCTTGGCAAACCCTGACACAAAAATTATCCCCAGACGTGACTAATTGTAAGTTGAGGCAATACCCACAGTTAATGAATAAGGGGACGAGGGGCCTGAGCGGCTGTCTCTTTGACAACTGCTCCAGGCAGTTTACAATTTGGATGAAGTTAAAAAAATTTGTGTGGCTCATATTACTTTTTATAATTCGATTTTTACGTCGCTTCGTGTGTGATTTATAAAAATATTATTTTAATATTATTCGCTGTTGTTCTATTGTTATATTTTATATAAATAATATTATATCTTATAAAAATGATGTTATATCTTTCGGAACGATTAGCTGACAGCCGCTCTAACCCCGCATCCTGAATAAGGAGGCCACATTATCAAGTGTTTTGAGTGTTGACTTGAGGTCAACATTGGCGTATTATTTGATGCAACGCTTAAAAGTGTTTTACATAACATCGGGAGCCTGTTGATTCTGATGCTTTCTTCCACATCTTGTACTACTAGCAAATTGATATGATTGGCGTATTATATGATGTACGGTTTTACAGTAAATTAAACTCCGGCATACATATGTTTTATATTGCTGACAATATCTCAAGTTCCCTTTTGATTTGACCCGCTTGATTCCAATTGGCCAGACAGCAAGCTGCTGCTGCTCTTTCCTTTTTCATTTTTTTTTTAAAAAAAAATTTTAGACAGCATGCTTGTCTTAGCCACTCGTGAATAATTAGTAGTAGCAACTTGGGATTTGCACCGGTGACGCTTTAGTCCAGCTCATAATATAATTAAAGAGTGATAAATGATGGCAGAAAGAAGCTAGAAACGGGAAAGGAATTAAGAAAAATAAGAACCAGAAGAAAGCTGGCATGTGCAGCCCGCAAAATGATACATACATGTACATTTACATACACGTGTGTGTTTATATATATATATATATATATATATATATATATATATATATTTGATGTTGTATGCATGTTAATCAATTACTATACTGTCCTCTATTATCATATGCTGAGCATAAATTTTAAAAAAATATTAATGGCACTCAACTTTTTGTTGATTGTATTTTCATCATTTATTTTAGTATATAGTCTGATACATGAAAATCATATAATAAAAATGATAGCCATCGATTGAGAGTGCGGTCAACAAAAAGTGGAGCGTGATTAATCTTGATCTAATTTTTATTTGTCATAATGATTGGTTTCTAATGCTTGCCCGTTTCACTTAATTTCTTCCACCATGAGAAGCATGCCTACGGTCATTATACTCTTTTTTACTTTTCCAGCTCGACATAATTAGGCCTAGTGGCGCGTGATTATTGATCAGTGAAACTCTCTGCCTTCGGCACAATGCGAGTTTTGCATGCGTCAAATGTAAAACTGTCATCACGTACTTCATAAACTTCCACTACGTCAGAGGGTATTAATTACTACGCAGCCAGAATTTTGATCGTGTCCTTCTTTAGGTACATAACATCTTACAAAGAAGAAAGAGGGAGGATCATAACTGGGTCTGGTGCATCAAGCAGTCAAGTTTGAGATAAATTCACTTGATTACTTGAACTGATAACAAGTGATTACACGATCTTTGTTCTTGTCCAAAAGCATTTGGTTTTGGTATATACTCCTTGTTTGAGGCTTTAAGCGCCGAATAATGGATATGTGTCATTTCTTGGCTATACGCCTACAGAAAAGCAGGGCAGAGTGCGGCTAATTAATAAGCATGATGTTTTTAAAAAAAAAAAAAAAATTGACTGATAATATATTTATGTATGAGATGCTCCTAATGAGAACGATGAAGAAAGCATGCATGTGCAAACAATAGACAAACGTCAATGCTGGAGCCTGGAGCAGGCCAGATGCCTTCTTGATTTGACTGATGTTCCCAAAAACATTTTCTTAGCGAAATGTATTCATTTTGGTAAATGGCACAGCTTTTGACTTATGGGTTAATTATTATGTTATAAGTATACTTTAATCGAGCATCAAATTGCCTATTTGGGTGGAAGTGCAGAGTATGTGCAACAACCGGGAACCCGGCGGATACGTCTCCTTAATCACCAAATTAAATCGCATTAATAGTGGAATTACTCGATAAAACAATGCACATATGACAGACACTATTACGACCATGTGGTAGTTGATGGCATTTGTTTTTTTTTTCTTTGTTTCCCACTTGTCAGTGTCCTAAACAAGCAAACTGAACCCTATTCCTATCCATATCCACTTTGATGATGTCTGTTAAGCTTCGACTGCATCATTTTAGCACCAGCATTTTGCAAAGGGCGCCCCTGAAAGAAAAACCCAGAAAACCCATAGCACGAACAGTGGACGGATACTACCATAAGCTTTCTTCTCGTCATCAATGCTTAATTCTTAATAAAACCTGGGGGGGGGGGGGGACATGGCGTCCCGGCAGATGCACTCACCTTGAAACACTTCCAATGCATTTTTTCGGTTGCCAGCAAGAAGGCTCATGTGAGACGCACGTGCAAGACATGAATGAATTATATGAAGTATGAACTCACCAGTCCACTAGCTTTTGCATATTTGTATTCTTTCTCACAATCATCGTCACATGGACCAACCTGTTGACAATAAGACCCACTAAACTGGAATAGAAATTCAGTAGTCGGCCAAACAATAATTCAGTGAGCCTCTCTTCCTCTCTCTCTCTCTCTCTCAGAGATTCATAGAGTTAAGAGGCCACCGAAGTCTCCTGCACTTTCAATAATTGACTTCCCTATGAGGCTTTTTGCCTTTTGCATTGTGTAATTTACAAGGTCTAGACAAATGCTGCTATCCCTTGTATGGCTACCATACATGCCTTGTGTGGTCGACTTATCTAATGCTGTTAAATATATGGCGCCAATCTGCAAACTGCAAACGACATTGCAGGATTAAAAGCGCACTGTTTTTTTATATACAAGTTCAGTAGCGTGACATCATATGAACTGATAACTGGAAACATTTCTTTATGACAATTATTGAGTACTCGTTTCAAACATACAGTAGATTAACAAATAATTAACGAAACTCTTGGCGTGCTTGTATATGGTGTAACTTGGACATGGGGCCTGCTTTGGGCGGTTCTATAATTATACATCTTTCGTCTATGTTGATTTCCTGCTTTTGTTGCTTTGTGCATCGGAGGATTAGTGGAAAAGTTAGATGAGAATCCAGATAATTAACTTGAAAAACTAAGAGGCCGGTATAGGAAGAGGATTATGTGAAAAAAACAAAAAAATTTAACGTTAAGACACTTCCACTTGTCTTAAAAAATTCGTCAGTAGTCCAATCCTCAGCTTTCTCGAAACCTTTGGTGTAAGATTATGCTTCGTGATTAAACTTCTTTTGAAGCGATTGAATCAGTTTCGTTGGATTTAGTCACATGAAGCAAATGGTCACTTCACTTGTACGTAACACTCGAGCTAAGTTAGCTAACCACCTCACATGAAGATGTTGAAGAATTAATTTGGTGCTACGATCTTTTGTGCCCAATCACATGACAAAATCTAGTTGGGGCTGATCACAATTGGTGAAGTCTTTCCATTGGGTCTCACCCACTTTCACTTTCAGTTAATCTACCAAGAAAAGTGAGGGGGTCCCGAGAGTCATGAAAACTCTTCCCTTCCACACCCCCTTTCATTGGTTTCTGATAAGCTTTTTGTCATTCCCATGAAAATTGACCTTTACCTTGTCATCATTTAATACTTTCTTGTTTTTAAATAATGCTACTAGTACTATAGCACCACCAGCAGTTGGGAACGCATGGGCAAGTACTGGCTACTTCTATGACTAGACCATTTTCTTATTAGTCTTTAGACCAAAGAATTTGCTTTGAGTGAGTGGCTGGGACAAGGTTGAATGGGGAAGCTGAGTTTTGGCAGAGTTTTGGATCGTTTTTGTCTTTCTTCTTCTCGATCAGGCTCTTGTCTCTGCATCAATAACTATGCCTCAGAAGATGAGCGTGAGCTAGAAAGCAAGCCACTGATTACAACACCCGAAACTGGCCAGTTGGTGAAAATCAAGGATGTTATTTCTGCACCCCCGACCCTGGCTCTTCAATTGAAGCCCCAGGTAAACACTTCCTCATTAATGCTTGATACAGCAGCAGTCAGCAGTAAATGTACCAATTGGTTAAAAATCGCATCCCCTTAAAATTGCCAGATTCCAGTCTGTTAAACTGAAAAATCTACGGGGTTGCATCTCATTTTTTGTTGCATTTTGTCCTGTAGCATACATGTAATGCAAAAACTCTAGTCACCACGTTTGCTATGCGGTGCTTCTTTAGTTTAATCATTCACTTTCTGGAACCAGGAGATTTTGTGACCGCCTCAAATCATCGCCTGTCTGCAGCTGCATTCATGCCGAAGTTTTGGAACTTAAGTACCAACTATGAAGGATTTAATAACTGGATTTGCTTATCTTCTGCGTAACAAATAATAATCATAACACTACCTGATATTCCATGAGTTCGAACCTTTGATCAACTTAACAGAAGGTTAAAGTTTTGGAGTATTATGCCTGTGCTGATTATCCCGTTCAGTTTTCTTCTTCCATTCGACATGCCAAATGACTCCCAGCTTGTTAAATTTTCTGTCGCTGTATTGATCCAGACGGTTGTGCTAAAAGTGTCGATGCACTGCAATGGATGCGCAAGGAAAGTCAAGAAGCATATCTCCAAGATGGAAGGTAATTACTAAATCATGTCTCCATCCTCCATCATACTTAACAATGACTTTCCCAGTTGAATAGACTAGCAAGTGAGAACTAAATCTTCTGCTAAATCAATCTTTTCCAGTTCCACTAAATAAATGTGAGGGAAAGAACCTTGCCGGCCAATACACAGAAAATGGTAGCAATTTTCTCATGCTACGTTAGTATGAGAAAATTGATTGTTAAAATTCAATGACACCTCGCAAAACACCAACCAAAAAATAAAATGACCTGTTGTGATTCATCTAGGACTCATCCAAACAATGTATATCGAATGATCTTAGATGAATGATGAATTCTAAACCGTTGAAATTCTTGGTGTGGAAAAGTTGTGAGAACTCATCCCATCTCTAATGTATTGTCCCGTACTATTTGGCATAAGTCTGTTTAGGCCTCACCGCTTTGTACAAAGGCAATATGAAGTTACCTTTCCTACCATCCGGATTTCAGGCACGAAGTCGAATGCTTATTGAAAGTCCAAATTCTAAAAGTGTTAAACTTACACACATTGAAAGTGTACACTTTATCACCACCGTTAGATACTTGATATATATATATATATAAAATTATAATTTCAAATTCATATTTAAATTAATTCTCATATCTCATCTAATGGTGAGTACATATACATTATTAGTGTATAAAAGATTAATCCATTCTAAAATGAAACAAAATTTTGAGATTGCATTGATCCCTCACATTTGAACGAGAGGCGTACTAAGCTAAAATCTTAATGTCCAGAATCTTGCAGTTAGAGTTTGAGCCGTCTATTACGGGTTATCGACGGCACCAGAAATGCAAATTGATCTAGATCCTTAGCAACCTCTCAGAGAGTCCAGCCACCTCCAGATAACAGATTCACAATATTTTAAATAAAATCGTTCAAGTAATTTTTTTCCAAAAAATAAAAAAAAGGAAGGAGCAGACTGTTTTATCAAAACGTGATTATGCTCTTTCTAACTCTTTGTGGCTGGAAACAGGAGTGACATCTTATGAAGTAGACCTGGAAACCAAGATGGTGGTGGTGATTGGAGACATTGCTCCTTTCGAAGTGTTAGAGAGTGTATCTAAAGTGAAAAACGCCGAGTTATGGGCCACTCCTGCCTGCTAGCCAAATGCAAAGAAACCTGCCATTTCTTTTCAATGCTATTTCAAAGACTGAGGCTATAAGCCACGGGGAACAAGTGGACAAGACGACTATATAGACCTCGTGACGTGTAACATTGAAATGTATTAATATACATTCACATCTATAAATATTGTACATGTCAAATTATATCCAATAGAGATCCATTGGACATCATGACATAAATTAATCAATAGATTTTCTCCATGTACGGTGGTATTCGAGAAATCGATTGATGCGCCAAGTTACTTCCCTGAGCAACTGTAATGAGAGACCTTTCCAGCTGCTTTAGTATGACTGTATTTTTCTTCCTCCGAGGTTAGTCAAGTCAACAACTACAGGTGCAAATTCATGAAACATCAAGACTTCTTCCCAAACTCCAGGATAAGAGGTGAAGGCGTGCTTTATTGATGGTTTGACCCGAATCTTCATGCCCTTCTACGAGATTGAACTAGGAAGTTTCTTTAACTATTAGGACTTGTTACTTCTCTTGGTTTCTTTTTCTCCTATTTTTTTGATCCGTTTGAAGCCCTGATATGGCTTTGGAAGAGTAAGAATTATCAAAAGAGAAGCGAAACTTCTTCAACCTTGGCCAAGGCTGTATCTTGCCATATTTAGTTCTCAATCTGTCTTCCCGCAATCCTCTATCCCAGGATTCCTTACATAGGCGTACTCAAGCACAACCGCCTTCATCAAATTAATGTTCGGAATGGCGTGCAGTTGTTTCGAGTGAAATAGCACACTTTCAAAATTTTCCACTTAAATACTTCATTCTCCGGTCTTTGCATATCAAGGTATCTCGACCATTCATTACTTGTAGTAATCTATGATATTAATTGATTAATCCATGAAAGACTCGCAATCTTGATTTACTTAGCTCCAGAAAACCAAAAGAACGAAAAGTCACTACCAACCAATGGCTAGGAAGAGAAAGTAAAAGGATAAAATATTTTGGCATTCTAATCCGATAACCCTTTATGGACTCAGATTATTGTGTGGGCTCAAATTAGATAACTATATGGGCTCAGATTATTGTGTGGCTCATGTATGTCCCCCAGATGTCCGCAACTTTGAGGTATATTCCTCAAAATATGTTTTCTCAAACATTGTGGACTACCATCTATTTTTCTAAAACATTTTTTCGTAGCAACATAAATCAGCAATGTAGCACAGCTTATCGCATCAATTAAATGCTTTAGGTTAGATAGATATATTCCTTTGCATGACTTTTTTTTTTTCGGTGCTAAGGAGAGCCATTGGCTCACTACATATTGATCAATCGAGGGAAAGTCACTCCGCACACGTCCTGACCTAAGAGATCTTTGATTGTTTGCGGTGGGTTCCTAAACATTATCATTCCATAGTCAAGACCTTGCCCTATCCTTTGCATGACTTCAAGCGCTCTTCAATATTACGCGACAACAAACGCAATTGTTCATCAACAGGTGTCATCAGCAATAGGAGCAAGCATAAGAAACTTGATTTTTATGAACTTCTGCACAATTCAAGCATTGATACGAATTTAAATAAATCCTCCCAACTAGCATTTTCCACTCGAATGTGCTACTAATTTTACACATATACAAACAAAAATTTTACACATACAAACAAAACAAGCAAATATGTCAAGTGGACTCACAAATAATATATTTATTATTATGTAAACATATTACCTTACATTTATCATGTCCCCGTCTCAATTTCTTGTACAAAAATCTAAATGTATTTGGAGTTACTCAGGATATAACACTATTGCAAGGATATGCTGGACTAATTATCGGCATTTTATGACGATGGTGCTTAAAATCTCTCTCCCAATCCCAAACTGGAAATGCTTCATTTTACTTTTCTATATAATACAAGAAAATCGGTTCAAGCCAATTCCATGTACTGTAAATTCTAAAAAACTGATGCACTAGAAAGTCGCAGGAAAGTGTAATATGTAAACATATTACCTTAATATGTAATATGTAAACATTCCCCATCTCATTTACATATCACCTTAATATGTAATATGTAAACATATTACCTTACATTTATCATGTCCCCGTCTCAATTTCTTGTACAAAAATCTAAATGTATTTGGAGTTACTCAGGAGATAACACTATTGCAAGGATATGTTGGACTAATTATCGGCATTTTATGACGATGGTGCTTAAAATCTCTCTCCCAATCCCAAACTGGAAAAGCTTCATTTTACTTTTCTATATAATACAGGAAAACCGATTCAAGCAATTTCATGTACTGTAAATTCTAAAAAACTGATGCACTAGAAAGTCGCAGGAAAGTGTGCGATAGTGTTGGCAAAGACATACAACCATAATAGTAATAGTAGCACCAAAAAAAAAATCCGAACACCTGAAATAGTTATACTCAATTTAGTCAAATAAAACATCTTAGTAATGGAAAAAATAAAGGGAAATTTGGACTAGGATGCAAACAGATAAAACATATATAGTCAATAAAAAAATCGAATAATGAAATAAATAGCAATATAGTAAAATTGATGCAAACAGATGGAAGAAGAAAAGGCTAAGATCCAAAAACTTTGTCATGTTCTTACACCACTAAGAAAGTACGATTCCACCTAAAGTAGAGCCAAGATCTTGCACAAGACGATAACCTTTTTAAATTAGAGAGTTTGATGAATAATGCACGTATATCTCTCACAAAGACGTACGTGAGAGATATAAATACTATAGTTTTTCAAATATTATAATTTTTTTAAAAAAGTACTCTAAAAAGAACTCTAAAAAATAGTCTAAAATTTTTTTTATGTTTTAAAAATATCCCAAAATATATTCTAAAAACTCTACTATTCTTAAATATTCCAAAATATACTCTAAAAACTCTACTATAGTAAAATTTTTCAAAACACTTCCAAGAACAATTAATCCAAATGAAGTATCAAATTTGGAAACTTAAGAGACTTGTTGGAAATCAAGAGTTTCTGAAATATTTTTGACATTTTTTATCCATTGAAGGGGTTTAATGGTATCTTTAATGTTCATGAATGCCCATAATATGTGAAATAGTGGCTAAATAACTTGTGACCCTTGGATTGTCCTTTCACTATAAAATGACAAGTCTTTATCACATTAAAAAACTAGAACCTTGATCATCTCTTTGTAGAGCAAACTTGACATTTGCTATTAGGTTTCCCAAAAATCTTGTTGTATGTTAGAAGTAATTTGTTATAACCCTATAGCAAATATCATATGTAGTAGGGGTAAATGACACCTTAAGAATAGTGTCAAATATGCCTCATGATCATCATTTTCATTCCCATTTTCTAAGTGAAATTTGTATTTCTACACTTTTGTGTGCTTGAGTATCAATTACACCAACAGTTTTATTCTTCAATTGGAAGCACTCCAGTGGAGTCCAAGTACTTGGGAGGAGTAAGACCATATAAAATATATAATGATTTTCAGTATGGAATTTAAAAAAATATATAGAGATGTGAAGTGAAGCATATTAGAAGAATATCTAACCTATTTTAACTTATGAGACTCTCTTTCCATGGATCCTGAGACTCACTGTGACACCCTCTTCTTCTCCTTTTACAAAGAAATGAGGAAAGAAAATCCTACTATAATATGTAACAGGTTCTATAACATAACAGTGATCCTTCAAAGGGAATGTGAGTCAATTGTGCCTCTATATTGCATCTAAGTTCTTCAACTCCTGCATGGCACTGACGCCCTTGTTTGTGTCGGTGGTTTCTGGGTTGCAAATGCAAAAGCAACCAAGATAGTAGTGAAAGGTGTATTATGATTCTCTAGCCGACAAGACCAAATGACGACTTTGCCCTCTATTCAAATCTTCGAAAAATGCATAATTTAGCTA